ACATCCGGAAAGGGATACCAAGCACCAATCACAGCAGCTTTTTGTCTGCGCACTTCCACTTGAGGTCTGCACGGGTTTGCGACCGTCCGACGCATAGTCAGGATTTTTTTTCTAGGTGCACAACGACGGTTGCAGAACCTCTGTGCGGGGAACAGATTTGACGGTTGCAGAGGCTATGTGTCAGAAGAATAAATTGGCCTTTAGACAGACTTTATTATCAATTTGTACACACAGAGTATACACAAAAAGACATTTTGTTCAGTAGTTTACTGCTATTAAAAAAAAACAAAGTCTTACTGCTGGGCTTGGATGTCTGCAGTCTGCATTAGATCCTGTTTAGTCTAAGTTGTTTAATCTGATTCTACTTCTTATCTATATGCTGGTAAAATAAAAGCTGTGCTGTTTACAAAGCAGAAGAAAATTACAAAAGCCTTTACTTTTACAGAAACATCAACGGGTTCGCAAATAGAAAATGTTGAAACATAACTACCTTGACCATGTGGTCTCCTTTAAATCACATATGGAACATGTTGTGCAGAAATTCAACAATAAAGCTCTGATTTTTCTTTAGAAAAATATCTTGTTTTTGTCCGTTGGTGCAAGGAAGCATTTTGTTTTAATGACTTTCCTGCCTCTGTTGGATTACTGTGATGTTGTTTATATATAAATGGACCTGTCATTTCTCAGCATGTGTTGGATGTTATGTTTCATGGAGGTTCATAACAGGGTATGTCTCTCTTCACCGCTGTTATATATGTTCTAGGGTGAACTGGCCATCGCTTTCCATCTGTAAACTCATTTATTGGTACGTTTTCATCTATAAAGCTGTTCTGGATTTCTACCGCCTTACCTAGCCCTGTGACTGAGACAATTTAGCTACAAACGTGGCTCTCAGGGTTTCCTTTCCTTCAGTGTGATATGTGTACAGTCCAAACTTGTAATGGGCATTTTTGTATTATGCCCCAATTAATGGGGAATATTCTAAAGCTGGAACTGAAATTGTCTGTTTTGATTCCTCTGGAACAATTTAAATATCTTTAAAGGCATAAAATCTCATATGCAACTTGCTCCTTTTTTAGGTCAACCTTTTAATTTTATTTAATTGTGATCAATGATTTCTTTTTATTATTTTGTATTGTTCATGCATTTTGGTGTTCGATTTGATCAAACAGGTCTCTTGAAAATAAGATTTTGGATCTCAGTGAGACTGTCTGTAAAAACAAAAGTTAAATAAAAAGAAAAATGAATGTAATGTTAACCTTGGGTAGGACTGGATTGGGCTTGGATATCTAATCTCTGATTCAGAGTTCTCCACCATTATTGGCATCCCTGTTTAAGATCTGGCCGATCTTTTTTTAAACAACATAGAACCCAAATGCAAAAAAGAGAAAAATCCAACCTTTTATTTAAGTACATTACTTTGGGGGCTTTTTTTCCCCTCTCTCCCTTATGTTTAATAATGAAAAATTATATACAAACTTTCAAAACCTATTATTATTTTAATCAGCCCCTGGGAGGTGAATGTAATTCAATGACAAGGTATTTCAAGCTCTGAAACAAGCTAGGAAAATAATCATAAAAAAAACAAAAAAAAACATGAAAATATGACATTAAATGTTTGCTATTCATTTGATCAGATATGAGTAGACTTCTAGAAAAGAAAGGAGTTAAAAAGCTGTCACTCAAAGCTACAGAAGCATTGGTGGAAAACTAATAAAAACCTTTTTTTAATTTGCGTTTGGGTCTTCATCTTGCATTCTCACCTAACCTCCATTAAGAAGCAATTAAAGCAATTTTGTTCTAGTCTCTTTCTTAAAAAGTTTTACCAAAAAAGTGCCGTGTTTGCCCACTGCCCGCTAAATTTTTTTTGAAAAAACCAGAAACGTACATATATAAGCCACACATATAAGCATCTGCTATCTAGTGAACTATCTCCAACCAAACCTATAGGGGGAGCTCTACATATAGACCCTAAAGTAGGGACAAAGAGGAATGCTAGCTCAAGTTAGCTTGTTAGCTTTGCAGCAGTAATAGCTTCCACTGAAAGAATGGGGCTTCTTCAGCTCTTTATTTCAGCTCTGTAAGAGCTGAGCCCTGTCTCCTTATTTTTTCGACAGCTTTAATGAAGAAAATAAATGTCAAAATGTTTAAATTCAGGATATTTGTTCTCTGTCGTGTCTGCTCCTAGCATGTTTTTTGCTACATGAAAATTAGCCCCTTATTCTTTGATTTCCAACTTGGACTTCCCCCTCTGGCCATTAGTAAATTCCACAGAAAAGCTGCACCTTCTTATAAGCTGCATGGTTCAAAGTGTGAGAAAAAAGTAGCAACTTAAATATGGTAATAAAAATAATCATTTTCCTGTTTTGTGTTTTTGAATGAAATAGTTTTTTTTGCAGTTGTAAAATACATTAGGTTTGAACTTTTTACCATTAGTTTTCCTCACTTCTCCCAGGATTTAGTTTTTGATTGTTGCTATGATCTTTGCGGATGACCCACTCTCACAAGTAGCAGCAATAGCACTGAATTTCCTTCATTTGAACCATTTCCCCCCTTCCAGAGCAACGCCACGCTGTCTTTTAAAAAAGCTTTTGTGCTCTCCTCCAACATCAAGCATGTTTAAATGAGGTGCTTTCAGGGCCAGTGAAAGTTGTTGTAATTGAGGCACGCATCAAGCAATCTACTCTTTGGAGGTGCTTTTTTTATTTTTAGGGAACAACTCTTCCAATTTTATATCCTTTTCTTGAAGACCTCGCTCCAAGCTGCATCTGGGAAAAGTCAGAAGGTTTTCGGCCTACATAGTCTGTTCCTTGCAGTGTGCAAAAGCAATTTATAATACTCTCTGTTGTTTAAAGTAGTTTTTCACTCTAACAAGCAAGCTTTTCAGAAATATAAATGATTCCAAAGCTTTTACAGTTTTCTATTTCCCACTTTACCTTGCTTTGTGCTTTTGTTAAGTGGTTTAAAATAGTGACCTTGTATGAATCCTTGAAAGGCTTAAGGTGTTAATAACATATTTTTAATAGGAGTTAAATGTTTGCTGTGGAACTATTTGGTGAATGCCATAGTTCCAATGTAATGTTTGTTCTCTGTGCTTATTTGCAGCAATGATGAACATTTGTTATTGGTAATTGTTGTTTCAGGTATTGTTTGTTTTTTAAATTGATTATGTTTGCTTATGTCTGAAAGGTATATTTAGTTGCTCAGATTAGGGCTGCAAGTAAAACCTATTAAGCAAATTGATAAATCTGTAGATTATCTTTTTGATTAATAATGGGATAATTAAAGGTTTCTTAAAGAAGACTTTTTACAGAACTCAAACTTTTGCACTTAAGGAATTCTGGATAGAGCATATCGACAGACAAAAAGGTTTATTTTATCTTAAATGCAAAATGTATATATATTTCTTTTTACAATCTTGTCAAAATTACTCCTTTAAGTGGGTTCCTCTGTCAGCTAGAGGCACATTTTAGAGTCTCTATAGTCCAGTTAACGATTAATTAATGATTAAATTGACAATTATTTCAATAACCGATTGATTACGATTAATCCAATTTATTGTTTAAGCCCTAGTTCAGATTAATGATTAATGAAAAGTACAACAGGATTCCAACAAATCTGGGAAAATATGCAGAAGTACAGTTTTTATTTAATTATTTGAGTGCTATAAAGATACATACAACTAAAATGATTATATTTATTTGATTATTTTAATAAGATAATGAAAAATCAATCAAACCAGCTATAAACCACATAGAAAAAGTAAGGATTTGGCTAAGGCTTTAGTCATACCTTAGCCTGACGTAGTCCTACTCAATTCTAGTCAGAATATGAGTCTGATACTGCTCCATAGAGCTGTGATTATGGGGCGTGTTTCAAACGAACCAGGAAAAAAAATGCTCTGCACTCAATTGGATAGACCTACAACCAATAAGAGCAACGGAGTGCGTGACGTATGTTAAGCCACGCATAGTTGTTGTCAACAAAAATCGTGCAGTTCCACGCCTAGAATAAGAAAATGAGCCTTGATCGCGTTTCTCTGTTCCTCTTTTAAAATTAATTTGCTGTCGATATCTTCTAGAACAGACCTAGTAGCAGAATCTACTCACCTAAACTCTCCAGTGGCAGCCATTGTTGTTGTCACCCAAGCGCGCTTTGGTCACGTGGTTGATTACGTTACTGTTGATTATCTGTCCATCATCGTATAAAGCCCGCCCTGACAATTTGATTGGATCGCCAGAGAGTGGGCGATAATACTCGCGCTACTATGGAGCAATGCCAGACCGAACTTCCCGACCTCAACCTTGTGGGCGGGACTAAGTTCGGAATGGCACCCAGGCTAGTCATACCTCCCCGTTTGTCCAAAATGCATCCTTGGGTCCATAACAGTGTCAACACATTGCTCCACAATCGCGTCCATTTTTCTCATGGTCTTCTGTCAGTCCTTCCTTAAAAGAAAAGCAATAGTGTAATAAATAGCCCTAAGTTTAGATGAAACCGTTTGTGAAGTCAGGTAGGAATGTCTGTTAATTGCATCCAATCATTTTAGGATTGGATGTTATTCAAAATGATGCTGCACAATGTATTAAATCACTGTATTCCCTGCAATATCAGTGTATAAGCACAGTGCTAATATAGTCGCAGGAAAGTCAAAGTTTGTGGGATGCTGTTGTTAAACTGTCATACATTACAGCTTTACTTCCTAATAATGTGCAAGATGGGCTCAGTTGGATGGGCTCTACTGTCCTGGTTGGACACACCTGACATTTATTTTTAGAGAAAGAGATACTGAAGCCTCCAGTGTGGGATGGGGACACAACATCCTTGAGAATAAAGAAACGATTGTCGTCTTTAACCTGATTGCGCTTCCTCATTTTCTTCATTTGGACCTAAATCCTACGAACCACATTTTTTTTATCTTGTCAAATACAAATATGAAATCAGATTTCAAATGCACTTAATTTTTTTTCTTTTCTGTCTTTATGACCCTCAACATCTAGAATCCACTTCGGCATGAACGGATCGATCCGTATAAATCCTGCTCAGAGGAAGGTTACAGCGGGCTCTGCGGCAGTGTTGGAAATACGCCTTACCAACGACACTGTGGCCTTCTTTGACAGCACAGTAGAAATAAGGTAATGGGGACAACAGCCAACGCAAGATAGATTGAGGTGACACAAGTTCACCTTGGGGTATTCTTCTGATTTAGTGAGTATGTCCTACATTAGGCTGGTTCTGAAGACAGCGGCTATTGTTGCATGAAAAATGCTGTCTTTACTCAGCATTTGTCCTTATCATAGTATTTTATGTGTTATGCTCTAAAGCAAGCCAGACAATAATTTGTAGCATCTGAAAGTCTCACCTATGGTCTTCTGGATAATAATAAAGAATCTGAAACAATTTGGAAATGTATAACCTCAGCAGAGCTGCAGTTGACCTAGAGCGAAAACTGCAGCCATGTATTTTCTCAATCCTCCAGGTACTTTGAAAACTGTGTTCCTGCAGGTTGACGGAGGATTGTGAGCAGAAGGTCAGGGCCATGGAGAGTCTGGATCTGTGCTCCCCCAAGTTCAGCTTCTCGCGCTCTGAGGAGGCAGTGAGGACCCAGGCAACCAGGATGCTCTGCGACGTTCTCCTAGACCAAGCCGTCATGCCGGGAGTAGGCAACATCATTAAAAACGAAGCCCTGTTTGACTCGGGCCTCCACCCAGCCGTGAAGGTATGGAAAAGATGATGGATTGTGTTCAGCAGAGGAATAAAATATGAGGAAGGGAGGAAAAAAATGCAAGACAACACTCACAGGGAAAAAAATAGTTGAAGCTCAAGTATTTCTGAGTGCTGCATGGAAATGAGGAAGGTGAAAAGGGGATAAGACAAACAAGCGCACTGCGGCACATATATATTCCTTTTCTTTTTGTGCTCTTTGAATGCATATTGCTTCCGAGATGTAGAGCTTCTGCTTCTGCTTACTTTCCTAGATTTATGAAATAAACATTAATGAAGTTGTTTTCTTGATTGAGAAAACTATTGACCTCTCTATTTCTGATGAGACGCTCCGTGGCGTGAATACTTTTAATACTCAATTATTATTTGAGGTTTTGTTTTCTCAAGGCTGTCTCCCCTCCCCCCCCTTCGAGTGTTTTAACACGCTGGACCAAAACATTAATCTTGGACTTTTAGCCCCTTCTTCCCATGGGGCTGCCTAATGTTTATAAGCTTCGCCTCCATTATTAAGCCTCCAAGTCCCCAAAAGAGCAAAAAAATAAATAAAAAATAATATTTTTTCTCTGTCTGATCTGAAGTCGTGAATTTGCTGCTGCAATCCCCATAAATATACAGCATGCAATATTAATCTTTTAAATCATTCACCTCTGGCTTTAACCATATCTTGAGCTTTTTTTGTTGATTGTATGCTTGTGGTGTAGCTTTGCTGACTTCCAATGAACTCTTTGCTCTTTTCGATGAAGAGTCGTTTTTGCCTTACGGCTGTGGCTGCTCTGCAAACATTTCATTTCTAGGTTCAACAGTTGACAGATGTGCAAATCCACCATTTGGTCAAGATGACTCGAGATTTTACTCTTCTGTTTTACAAGGTCAGTCATTTTCACAGTATATTAAAAGCTTTAATAAGCATAAAGGATGGGATAGTTTCTTTAAAACAAACAAACAAAAAAAATTGTTTCTGTTTTTTTCTGTCAGTGTCGCAAATCTGGCTCTCCTCTCTCCAAACATTACAAAGTCTACAAGCGTCCCAACTGTGGCCAGTGCTCCCATGTTATTACAGTCTGTCGTCTTGGAGACAACGGCAGGATGACTTACTTCTGTGAGCGCTGTCAAAAAGGAGATCCCACCTGCGTTGACGTCAGGTAAGGGTCCTTGTAGGCTTCTGGCACTTTGACAGAGAAACTCTTGCTTTGCATTCCTGTAAAGCGACTTTAAAGGTTTGCAGAGTTGGTTGTTTTTCTTTTCTTTTTGAGTTTACAGTGAGGTTAAATCGCGGTAATACCTTGCTTCTTCTGTCCAACACAAATCCATATTTCAGAGTGCAGCAAAATAATAAAAAATTCAATTGAACAGGTGCAGTTGATGTTTCAGAAATGTAATAATGCATTTCAAGAATAAATAGCCTGGCTTTAAAGTTATTGACTGTCTTTAATGATGGGATTAAGTATTTGTTGTTCTCTTAAAGGTTAAATAAAAATATATATCAGCAAAGAATGCAATTATTTGAGATGGAATTGTAAGAAACTAAAAGTTGACTAAAAGTTTTCTCAGCAATGCAAGAGTAGACATTTAATCAGTAAATAGATTTATAAGTATCATTAAAATAGCAGAAACTATCAAGCCACCAACAACATAAAAATTCAACCTGATGAGATGTTAAGTAAGTAGAGTGAAAATGAATCGAATGAATGCACTAAAAAGATCATTTTAAAATGCAGAACTAAGGAAACAGTCCCAACCAGAAACAGACAAAAATGTAAAAATGAATTTTGAATAAAAGTTTAGTATTGAAGAAATCCAAAATAAGGATAGAAATCGCATTAAGATGAAATAGAGGATCCAACAGAAGCAGGTAATGATGCATTAA